GGGAGCGCATCTTTGGAATCCTGCGCTGCAATAAGTCATGCCTCGCGTGCAAGCGGGCCGGGGAGGATGGGACAGGGAGTGCCAGGCTGGGGGAGGGGAGTCCACTGGTCCCTGAGCATGCAAACAACCGGGGTGGCTGGGTGCGCAAGGGGGGGGTCTCAGGATCGGGGCAAAGAAGCGGCGCTGGGGCTCCTCCTCTCCCTTCCAGGAAGGGCTCCAAGCCGCAGGAGCTCCAGCCTGGGGGATCCCCTTAATGTGGGGGTTGGGGGGGGGCTTCGGGGCGGGGTTGATCCCGGGACACCCCCCCTCCTTTCCCCCCCAAGATCTCCGGGATCGGGGTCCGCGTGGCCCAGCAGCTCCGCAGGGTTGCAACGGACGCAACGAACGACCCCCCCCCCCGCAAGGAGGGCAGATTTGGGGCTCCCCACCCGGGAACCCCAACGCTGGCAGGCCACGCTGAATAGCATCCCCCTAAAAGCAAGCGGGAGCCCCCAAGTCGGGGCTGCTGCCCCTTTGCCCCTCCCAAGTTGAGCAAAGTCCTGCAAAAGTTTGGCACCCCGTTCCTCCATCGCGGCTGCTTGAAGACGGGTGGACTTCAACTCCCAGAATTCCCCTTCAGGGCCCACCCTTCCTCCCCCCCCCCAGGGGGAATTCTGGGAGTTGAAGTCCACCCGTCTTCAAGCAGCCGCGATGGAGGAACCCCAAAGTTTCCCCCTTGTATTCGTTCAATCAATCAAAATCAATCAGAACAGAGCTGGGAGGGACCTTGGAGGTCATCTAGTCCAGCCCCCCCCCCCCTCCAGGCAGGATGACCCTGGGACCATTTCAATCTATCAATCAAATCACTCAATCAGAACAGAGCTGGGAGGTACCTTGGAGGTCATGTAGTCCAGCCCCCCCTGTTCAAGCAGGATGACCCTGGGACCATTTCAATCAATCTATCAATCAAATCACTCAATCAGAACAGAGCTGGGAGGGACCTTGGAGGTCATCTAGCCCAACCCCCTGCCCAAGCAGGAGACCCTATATCATTTCAGACAAGTGGCTGTCCGGTCTCTTCTTGAAAACCTCCAGGGATGAAGCACCCACAACTTTTAGTGGCAAGCAGTTCCCCTGGTTAATGGTCCTGAGTGTGAGGAAGTTTCTCCGGGGTTCCAGCTTGCGTTGCGAAGGAACGAAAAGCCGCGGTTTGCGTGATAGGGAAACGCAAAATGAGCCAGCTGTGTGCAGCA